ACACACACACACACACACACACACACACACACACACACACACACACACAACCTCGGCCATCACACACACACACACACACACACACACACACACAACCTGGGCTACTGTCAGGTTCAACCTCCCCATGAGTCGGTGAAAGTCCGACGAAACAGTCTGGCACAGTCATGCTTTTTTTGTGGATTTGCATAGAGCGAACATGATAACGCACACGCACACACACACACACACACACAAACACACATGTGAGGCTTTTCAACCAACTGTGCAAACAATGTTCGCCAGTCAGTTAAATCAAATACAAGAGTCCAATAGCAATTGCAATGCCATAATTACTCAATCGGATTTGCCTTAGGGAGAGAGTGACCAATGACATCAACATTGGAGAAAGATTTCCCAGATGGCAAGCAAAGACGCGATTGAAGTGCACACACATCCATGCACGCAGATTAAATGAACAGAAGCGCCTGTCCCAGTACTCATTCACTCATATGCATACGCCTGACAAGCATAGAAAAAGCTAGAAAGAAGGCTAAGGTTGGAAGTCGAGTTAAGAGATCAGACAACACCACAGATGCAGAGCACAGAAGGAAACACCTTTCAAGCCGTGCAATGCATATCTCTGCTAGTCAAACTCTATGATCCGCCCACTAACTGCACTCAACAACGATCACTTATTCCAAAGCATGGCGATGCTCTGCCCTCCAGCAAAAGGAGACCAAAAGCACATCAGAAGAAACCAACTGCTCAGCTACATACACAAGCAAGCAGCTCCACAACCACCTCGGAGTCACCGCTACCCCCCCAAGACACAAAACCACATCAGAATTTCAGATGCAACAAACTGCTCAACTACTTACACATGCAAGAAGCTTGACAACCACCTCCCCTCTACCCCCCCCCCCCCCCCCCCTTCCCTTCTCTCTCTCTCTCTCTCTCTCTCTCTCTCTCTCTCTCTCTCTCTCTCTCTCTCTCTCTCCAAATATATATACGGGTTGATAGGGTACACTGGTACAGTATGCATAGCCATATGCATGACAGACTTTTCCAACATACAATCCATCGAATTTCTATCCAGCGCCAATCGACGGTTACAATCAGTCGTGATGAGACGGAGAAAAGGACTTGGCAAACGCTTTTGACCAATCCTGAGGAGAAGAAGCAAGAACCTGTGGCCGCTTGCGGCCCAATCAACGGAGATGGGGCACAGAATCCCTCTTATATGTCAGGATGCTTCGGAATGGACAAGGATACAATCAGCGAACACGGTGTACCCTATCTTCTTAAATTAACATTATTTGAAAAGTTAGCAGGAGAAACCACAGTGAAGGATTCATCCTGTCGCAATCATGGTAGCAAGCCAAGCTCTAAAAGCCAAACGCAAATGCAAACCAACTGACTACGTTGGAACGGCCGTAGGAATCTGTCCAGTGAAGCTGTGCTGTGTTAGTCGAGCAAACACTGGAGAGAAGACTCCAGAAATGTATGTCGAGGGTTCTGACTGAGTATAGTTGAGTCGTATATCGAGGAATTGATCGTCTTGACTTGGACCCCCAACAATAGCCCCGCTGATGACATTAGGATCTGGGTTGGTGGTGTTGAGCCAGTACCTACCTCCTTTACACGTGTACGCATCCTTTGGAACAATGTCATTCGCAGTTCCCGGGACCGCGATAGATGCACCCCGATGATGCACATGAAACGGGTATTTTTCTCCAAGCCCAACCATGTAGCTCATGCCGAGGGGATTATTCCCGAGAACGTACTCTGACTGGTACTGAACCCACTTTATGGCTCGATCTGGATCGGACTTGCACAGACCGAGCTGTTTGCTTTTCGTCTTCAGGAAATCTGCATGGATGAGGACGATAAACACGGACGCAGCAACGTACTCCAGCTGATCGCCCGGTCGCAAAAAAGCTAACCCTGCCGTAGTCGAGGGGTTCTGATTGGACATCTGAAAGCATGTAAATTGTTCCGCCAACGCACTGTACCCATCAAGGTCTTTCTGAGACACCTTGCCAAGAGCATTCATCCTCAGCGAATCCGGCAATGTTGTGATGAGCACGTGCAGACCTAGATTATCAACGCAAAGAAACACACACCCACCAATTAGCCATTGTATGTATAATTGTTCCGCTGAAGCGCACTGTAATCATCCAGGTTTTTTTTTTTTTTTTTTTTTTTTTTTTTTGAAATAATCATTCAGGTTTTTCTGAGCCACCCACCCAAGATTATTCATCCTCAGGGAATCAGGCAAATATTGCGAGCAGTACACGCAGACCTCGGCACAACGAAACGTCCAGCAATTCACCACCGACTCACTGCTCATCCCTGCCAAATTGTACACAACTGCCGGATCGCCAGATTATAGGAGGTTGGCTGGCTATTCTTCATGTCCACAACAATATATTTCTACACATTGCGTAGCCAACCTACTGAATTCAGGAAAAGGCACGAGGTCTTCACTTGCCAAAACTACCGTCTTCACCCGAATAAAACGCCCGCTCATTATCGCTGCATCTGGACTGAAAGTTGTGCCAAATGCAGCGGTAATGACCGGGCATTCTATTCGGGTGAAGAAGGTAGTTATGCTTTACACGATGCCACAAGAAGAACATGTACCAAACAAAGAGGATAAAATGCAACTGCCACTATTAAACAGCTGTCTGCCACTGAATTTCAGGTGGATCTCACTCCAAGTAAAAATCAGTCGTATCTGTATCTGATCTGGATACAGATCGGATAGTACAGATACAGATGTGATGAGGTTACAAAAATAATAAAATACACATCCAATTTGAAGGAGCGCCGTAACTAGACGCTGATCTCCTTCGTAAAGAGTCTAAAGACCCTTCCAAGATTTGGGTGTAGCTTCACATTCAGCGGAGGTAAATTTCTCTCAGAAGATTGTCCAGGTGTTCTTCCTTCTCGATACCTGTTCTCTGTCCACCACCGCCAACTCCTCCTCCGCATCATCATCATCATAGCTTGACTTTGTATTAGGAGCACCTGTGGATCACAAGTATTCAACGCACATCCTGCATTACAACAGTTCTTGCTGGCCAGACAAAAAAAAAGAAACAAGTGTCGCTCCCCCAGCATCAGAAAGTAGCACGGGGAGATGATTGCGATCATGGGAAGATGGAGCAGATACACTGAGAGGATGTGCATTGATGAAATGCATCAAAATAAAATAAAACAGACAATGGGAAACAAATGGAAGCGGCAAACTTTCACAATATACATAGAGAGAGAGGAGTTGTAGACGTGAGACGGCAATGGGGAGACAGACAAAAGGCAGTTGACACACAGACAGACAGAGAGAGAGAGAGAGAGAGAGAGAGAGAGAGAGAGAGAGAGAGAGAGAGAGAGAGAGAGAGAGAGAGAGAGAGAGAGAGAGAGAGAGAGAGAGAGAGAGAGAGAGAGAGKCAGGGAGGAATGGGGACAAAGACAGAGACCAGGACAGATAGATTGAGAATCAATAAACCCATAAAGACAGATAGATCGATAGATAGATAGATCATCCATACACTCATAAACATAGGAGGAGAAACTGTGAAGGGAGGGGGCAAACAGTGAAACTAGAATGGATATATCAACAGGTCCTCTCAGGGAGAGAGAGCGAGAGAAAAAGGGAGGGAGGGAGGGGCAGACGAGGGAGTTTTGATTGGCCAGCCGACCCATGTGCGACCCCAAAAGCTCTACAGGTCCCAGGCCATTCGGATTGTGGCCTGGGACGGTAGTTATATGCAATGCCCACTGGTCGGTTCACTGATGGCAAGATATGACATGCGTACCGCCCTTATCTGTCGATTCCGTTTGCCATGCGTTCCATGGTAGCGCAAGCACGCAGCAACCACTAGTGGACTAGCGAGGACAAAATTTCTGACAGCGCCCACTGCAACGATACTTAAGCCCTTGATGCACTGATCATCAGCTCACGCAGAGGAGTTGGGCATGGGGAACGGATGGAGATTGCCAAGGAGTGGTGCCATGGTACACCCCCGTTTGGTCGAGTCTGAAGGTACAATCCAATCGTCTGGTGATTTTAATTGTACCCTCCCATCGTATACAATTACTAGAAACGACACAGTCAAATGCTGTGGAAACCCCCTGGCCTCCCGGAGGACCGACACTTGACGGAAGATGTGCAGCCAGAACATGGACAGGACCATGAGCCAGCAGTTGGCCTGGAGACGGCACACGTCTTAAAACTTTTCTTCTCCTTATACAGGGAAGTTGACATAGGACTATGTGACTATGTCCAACACCGAGTACATACAAGCCTGCTGAACAGCTTACCTGCGTGCTTAGAGTCCCAGCTGAACTCAAAGCTCTGGTGAGTCTGAGTCAGATCTGCCGCATACTCCAAGTACTCCACATTTCCTGTAGCTCGATACAGCCACGCATTGCACCACAGGAGTTCGTCTTCATATTCCGTCGAGTTGTAGAAATGTATCGCCGATGGAACGCTTTCAGTGTAGTAGCCCTGCAAAAGTGCGGCACAGAATTGAGTTCAATATCACCAACCAAAGAACCATACTCATGAGCTCAATCCTGTTGAGTCCAACTTGTTCAAAACAACACGGTTAACGACATACGCGGACACGCTTCCACACTTTTCGCAAAGTGGCTCCGACAATCCATGAGCACAGTGTATTGGCTCTGCCACCACCATAGTCTGACAAAGGGCCTCGACCGGTCACCTTTACCATACCACTGGAGAAGGACCTACCTGCTCAAGCGGTCACAGACACCTGCAGACCTGGTGAGCAAATGTCCTTGTGTATGTACCTCTACACAGTTCAGTCAGATGGAGTGAGATAAGCAAATATATTAACCTCACTCCATTGCTATTGTTCTTCCAGCGCTTGAGCGCATATGTCCCAAACCCACCCCGTTGCATCGCTCAATTTCGTCACTTACCGGGTCATCATGACAAGTGCATGAATGCCACAAATCAACCGACCATAGCTCCGAAAGCCAGCCGCAGAGAGATTGAGCTCCACGTTCCAGACATGCAACCAGGATGTGCACGTGCGACCTCCACATTTTGCAAGCCAAATGTAGATTCATCAGGGATGGACAACAATCTCTGAGTCTGTTGTAGTGGGACATCAACTGTGGCCCCAAGAAGCAGGCAAACGGGGGGGACAGCTGTGCGCTCGCCAATAAGCATCGTCTAAATAACATGTCTGTGAGCTGGGCATATAAGCATTATTAAGACATCCTTGCTTGCTCCTTGATCAGAGAATGCAGCTCCATTGCTCCGAGGAAGGCATGGAAAGAGAACACACACACATACCATAACTACATGCCAGTGCACTGGGAGTATACATGCTGTAAGCCTCATTGTGTGAAGATAGGTGGCATGGTCAATCTCCCTCACCTCTCTCTCCTACACATTCATCCATCTGCTGAGCAACATCACTGTTGGACCTACAGAGTGACCCAATGTAGAAGGCGCTTCATTTTATCCCCTCCTGACAACTTTGTGAGGCCATCGTGGCCTCGCAGGTGTAAATTGGTAGGGCAATACGTGAAGGCCTGGCCTCGGTAGTCACTGGCAGGACCCTAAGTGAAGGCCAGGCCTGTGCAAAGTAAACCTCGGCCTATTCTGGAAAAGACAGGGATAGACCGGTCAGGGTGCCCGCCCAGGTAGTTGGATCCCGGCTGCCCGCAGCCTCTTCCAGAAGATACCGCCTACCATTCGGCCCAGATTGTTGCCTTGCATAAAGGAAGAACCCAGGGCAGACCGGGGATATTCGAGAGTTGGCGACAGTGCCGGACTGCTGAAGCACACGCGACAGGTGCCTGGAGGCACCACTGATGTCTGACACAGTGATCAACAGAGAGCAAACCGGCAGCAGCAGCCATAGCTGGGCTGGCCGAATGGAGAAGAGTGGTGGCACATCGAAGGGAGACCCTGGGAGGAGGAGGAGGAAGGCCGGAGGGAGAACCTGACAGTGGCCAAGAAGAGCTTCAGAGTGGTAAAATTCTCCGTTAAGGCATTCGTGGGAGGAGCACTGTACATTTTTTGGTGTAGTGTAGGCTAAGCAAGTAGAGTAGGCGAAATAATTTTCAAATAAAAAGGAAAGAACAGACTTCGTTTCGCATTCCCTCTTGTTTTCTTGTGAGCAAACAAAGTCACAAGCAGTCGTCTAGTCGGTAATCGTTGTGAGGAAACCGTACTGGAGGAACGTGATTCACAAGTACATGAACTCTCATGATTCATATGCAGCAAGGCAATCAGCAGAAATGACACAGTAGTGATCACACAGACACACAGACACAAGAACAGACAAGGTTGTCATCCTTTTTGATAATGAAAAGCCCTCTTCTCACCTCACACCAATCAACACAACAACAATGATACTTCTCTTCTCTTGCTCTCTTCCCTTAACGTAAACATGCATGCAATCATCTGCACCGCACACATTACCAGGCTATCCTGATACTCTGTCCGAACGAAATGCTGTCGGAATGATTGACCGGAGTAGGTGATCTCCAACATTGCGTTGTCGTATTCCCAGGAGTTGGGCTTCGTGGAGACTGGTATCAGTCTCGATTCAACTCCACACACACGTCCTTCATGAAACATATACCAGGGCGTCAACGTCCATAGTCCCCAGCCCGAAACACATGGAGGGAACTCCTACTCAAGGGGGGGAAAGTCCATTCCTCCTCATCCTCCTTCCTTCACGCCTCTTCTTCCACCATCTTTTCATGAGCTTTCACGACCTGGTTATCAAGGGCGAAGTTGTTGCCCTTTCCTTTTGCTCCTCAATTTCCCTCCCTCCCTCCCTCCCTCCCTCATTCACCTCCCACTCAACTTTCACCCTATCGCTCATAAGCTTCACTCATCTCGCTGCTTGTGAGTTTGTGCCCCACAAAGAGATTCAGTGAGGTGCATTGACTGTCTTCCTCCTGTCATCCCAGCTCTTTGGGAACTTCCAAATTCTATTTGTCGAGGGGAATAGCGGGACACAGGCAGAAAACTATAACCCTATAAAACACTACTTCTCTTTACTGCTATTCCTTCTCCCTCCCTATGTCATTCCCTGCCTTCCCGCCCTCCTCTTTATGATCTCCAGCTCCTTACACTCTGCAAAACTTCGGGGTAAATACGAATAACAGAGGCTAGAAAAAAAGTCATTTCTCTTCCTCATCCTCCTTCCCTCATCCCCCCCCACTCCTCTTCCGCCGGGTCTTCGTGAGATTGCATCATCATCTGTTTGCCAGAATATTATTACCCCTTCACACTGATCCTCCTCCTCCCTTCCTCCCTCTCCCTCACTCGTCTCCCCTTCATCTTCCATCCCTCTCATTCATCATCTTCATCCCATCTTTAACTCTGCCATTTAAGACCACCTTGCCATGATCAACGCATAAGGGTCACACCCATCTTCCTCCCGTCATTCCCTCCTCTTCATAACCATAGATAACCTGTCTCGCAAGGGGGGGAAAAGAAAAGAAAATGATATAAAATTACTACAAATGTAAATAGGACCTCCCCCCCTTCCCCCTCCCCACCGCTTCTCCTCGCTCATGTTCCGGGTGTTCTTTTTTTTCTTCTTCTTCTTTTTTTCTCTTTTTTTTTCTTCTTTTTTTTCCTTCTTTTCTTTTCTTTGGCAGAGGGGAAAGGGAGACGAAGGCGAATCTGTTCACCGTTCATATCTTGATCCTCTGCAGATTTCACACTTGAAAAGTAAAACTTCGTGCAATGTTACAGATCGGTCTATGCAGAAAAAAAAGGAGTGTATAGGAGGTGGAGGCATGAAGAATCCAAAGAATTCCAAACGTTGATTCGATTACCTTGTACTTCATGGCAAATTCACAAAGATCAGCTGCGGTGGACAGAAGCAGATGACGGTACGTCTCATTCACATTTCCCAAGGCAATTGAAGCCGCAGCCAAGGCAGCAGACATTTCACCTGCAACATCAGATCCTGGATGGGAAGCATTCACAGCCATCGCCTTCCTGGGGATTGTCGTGTCTTCTGGCCGCAACCAACAGGGATGATCCAATTCAGGATCGCCTACCTGCAAAACAGTGCATTGATGATCAGACACATGTGGTGATTTTGACTTGCTTTGAGAAGAATGTACTTTTCTAGTAACTACGACATTGTGCAGAACATGTCTTTTACCCTATCCCAAGAGGCTTGATTCTTGCGATAGCCAATGACGGCCCCTAGCGAGCCTTTGGAGGCTCACAGAGTTTTCAACAAATATAGGAAACAACTCATGGTTAAAAGGTTCTGCATTTACTGAAAAAGATCCTGCTTTCTCATGTTTATAGTTTCAAACCTTATGTATGCAACACACTCAACATCCACATAAAATAGACTCTACAGAAAATTGTTTTGGACAGCTTCAGAAATCACAGCGAGTCATGATAGAAAAAGAAAATCAGCGTCGAAAGATGCCAACTTTCCAGGTTTCAGAATTGGTATGGGTCAACTTATCCAAACAAAAAACAAAAAAACAAAAAAAAAAAGAAACCTCATCCAAGTTCACACCCGAGGAGGATACGTCACAGAAACTGATGCCACAGTAATACGCATCATGGACTTTTCTTTTTTTTCTTTTTGGATTTGATTTTTAGACACCATGGACAATTTTAGACGTTGTAGGAGATGATTCTGGCAGTCCTACCTATGTGGTTGATGTTCCCCCCCTCACCTTCGCACCTACACAGTTTTCCAACGAGTTTTTTCTTGCCGTTTGGCCTTGTCAATTCTGCTTTCAGTTGCTCTGCTCATGCCAGGCCTTTATCAGTTCTTGCTGGTCAAAATGTGGTGCTCTCACATGCTGGTTCCTTGCATTTCGGTATCAAAAAAGGCAAGAATAAGGGTATCCCAGAGGATGTCCGAGCGTAAGAGGGGGGTGGGAATGTGAGGCTCTCCGGCCCTAAGAGAAGGCCGCCGCGATACCACGAGCGGGGCCACAAGCAGGCTAGTTCCTCGGGCTGAAACTTTTTATTCCTGCACACTCACAAAAAAAAAACAAAAAAAAAAAGAACAGAATAAAGGACGAACAGGGTAAGGAGAAGATGGTACCAACGGGCATAACCCAGTTGGTACACCCATCAACTATCGAAACACAGACCTAAGTTTGAAATCCTGCTCCAACTCGATGAATGAAATACCTGAATTACCCGGGGCCAGTCAGCTCGGCGATGATATCTCAAGGGCATCGCCCTTTTTCTCTATACTACCAAAGAAAACAGAGGGTCTCGCGTGACTCCCCACGTGAGAGCCGGTTCCCAGTTTGGGGAACTTGGCAGGAAGGGGGCGCGACAGGCAGAGGCGGAAAGCCACGGTCCCACACGAAAGTGTGGGGCGAAACGACCTGGGCCGCCGCCCTTTTTAATAATTGAAAAAAAAGGGGATAAGGAGGATCGGAAGAGAGGAGCAGAGAGAAAAAAACGGCACAAAAATGAACGACGGGACCAAGAAGAAAGAGTGAATCCATGTTTCCATCGTAGTAAGGAAAATATTTATTCAGCAGGGAAAAAAATGTGCGCATTAATTACCTGTACAAAAAGAATCTCATTGTCCTTGTCCCAACATTTGAGAATGTAGTCAGTACCCCATTTTATCGCTTCCGTAGCACGGTCGATCTCCGAGCCAAACATATGTTTGTACTCCGCCACTCCCCACGAGAGCATGGTGATGGTGAAAGCCATTGGGAAATTGAACTTTATGCTATCCCCTGAGTCGTAGTAACCACCCGTTAGATCTCTCTTTACTTCCTTGCCGTCCGACAACCCAGAGTCACCCCGCCAGGGCACCCGGTTATTCACAGGCAGTTTACCTGACCTCTGCGCTTCTAGAAACAGGAAGGTTTTCCCCGTTGCCTCCTCAAATACAGATCGCTGTCCTCTCAGAAGCTTTGTCTCCCACACTCCACCCTTTGCCTTTGGGGCAGCCGTGCTTGACCGAAGGTAGAAGTAGGCCATTACTAGCACCAGGACAACCAAGATCAATGTGAAGCATTGACCGCTCTTGCTTGTCGCCAGCGATTTGGGGTCCTTCACCTTTTTCCCAAAGCCATGATCCATCTCCAACTCGTCACCGTCTCCGTTACCTCTGTTACCTGGGGGCACCTCGTAGCCAGCTTCATTCGCCAACTGGCTTCGGCCCACGACAGTGCCCAGACCCGTACTTGGAACTTCTCTGGTATCGCTCCCGCGGCTAACCTCTCTTGTATATGGCATTTGCAAGGACAAGTCCGCAGCCGACCCATCAGCATCTCTCTCCTCCCCCTCGCCATCTGAGCCACCGTCACTGTCATCGGAGCTTTCTGCACCGCCGCCGTGTTCAAACCGTCTTGGCATATAAGAGAAAGGCTGGAGATGCAGTGTGCTCTGCTGCTGCCGCTCACTGCCCTTTTTTGAACCGTCCTTGCTTTCCCGAACTGCTGCCTCCTTTGCCGCATTTGTCATCATCTTCTCCATGTTTTCAATCTCCACCGCTCCTATTTCCGTGACAAATCGATGGCCTGATCGGATTCCCAAGGAGCTAATGAGAGAGGAATCTGAACGAGTCCCAGAATCTGCAACAGCTGTAACTTCCGCATTTGCTTTGCGCCCTCCAACATTTCGGTTCCCCCCATTCCCCCCCCCATTCACCATTGGCGACGACGATGGTGGGGATTTCGCCGACACCGCATTTCCATTTCTGTACCCATCATCCACCACCACTGTTTTCGTAGGCACGGTTGGCACTGATGTTGAAGCTTTTCGGACATTCTGAGATGCAGACTGTGGAGCTGCTAAGGGCCCACCGTGGGGCCGTTTCAACCGTACAGAAGGCAAAGCTTGAGGCAAGTTCCTTTCTGCTGCGAGGGTGACCTCCTCAAACTCATTCTCGTACAAGTTGTCGTCCTTTCGTAGCAGCAACGAGTCTGTCTCCAGCTCGCCTTCTCCTGATGAACCCCCCCATGACCTGGCATCGGCCTCGCTCGCACCCAGTCTCATTGACCTATTTGACAGTGATCTCTTTATTGGCTCCATGTTTTCCAAGACGGCATGCCTTACATTTCACAGCGAGATCTTGCTAAGACTTGGGCCCTGCAAAGTCTGTTACAAAAAGCTTTTGGTCAAGCACCGCCAACTTGTAGTGCACTTTCTCGTGTTTTCAGAGTAAACACAACCCGCCCAATTATGACCGCCAAATTACCAAAGCCCTTTTACCAAAGCAACTAGGCTACAGCCAGGCCGCCCAATTATGACCGCCAAATTACCAAAGGCCTTTTACCAGAGCAACTAGAGGCTACAGCCAGGCCAATGCACAGCAACAATAGCCCGCCCAATACGACCGCCAAATTACCAAAGCAACTAGGCTGCAGCCAGGCCGCCCAGGTCAACTTGTTTGCCCGGGCCGCCCGGCCGTGCAAGGGCCAAAGAAGGTCCCAGAAAAAAAGAAAAAGGAAAAAATATCTGAAAAAAAAAGCTATGTTATGCAGAAAAATCATCCGAATAACTTTTGCCTCAGGGTCACTTCGAGATTCTTTACCAAATTAAAAATTAAAAATTAAGTTAATTCTTTTTTTTCTTTTTTTTTCTTTTTTTTGCCCAGTCGGGCAAGTGGTCCCGAGCCACTCTCGTAGCCTAGCAAAGAAATGAGAAACAAATGGAAAGAGAGAGCATGCCTTCCACATCACTATGACATCTTGCTGAGAAATGTCCATTTGGTGTGCATTTCTATTACTCTATATAAATGAGACACAAATACAAAACCTCCACCATATGCGGTGCCATATCAATTGGTCTCAATGCAAGTCAACTTCGGCACAGACATGAACGTTGCGAACACCATCACCGTCTTCGACGAGAGGAATGTGGAGTCGTGATCTCTTCAACTAAGCTTGAAAATTGGACACAGTACAATTTTTTAATGAACCCCACATTCTATTCGGGGGATGAAGGACGGTAGACTCAGTCTAGTGCTCCCGGCTTGGGCCCATTGACCCTGGCCAATTTTTGTAGGGGCCCAGTGGTAACCCGCGGCCTAGCGGCTCGCGGTACCTGGGCCTCAGTGGGGAAAAAAAAAAAAAAAAAAAAGGCTCAGTCTAGCCAAATGGATGTGACTCCCTTTCATTGTCTTGTTCTTTTCTTTCTTCCTGTTTTTAATATTCTTAGTCGTGCAAACATTATTTTCTTTGCGATAAGGAACTGCAACATCGCAATCCACACAGGTGGAGAGTACTTGTCAAGGAGGTAGAAAATACTAGTGCCATCAAGGACCAGTGGAGAGACTACCAGACCATCTAGACGCTCCGAAACTGCGGAAGAAAAAAAGGGCAGGGCAAGTAGGTACTGAATACCCATCAAGGAGGATTGCAAAAGTCTAGGGAAAACAGTTCCCCGTCTAGTGTAGGTTAGGTATTGGGAAAAAATTCAAAAAATACAAGAGGTGGTCCTGCAAGAACAGAACAGGTTGTGCATCGCCAAGGGGGTTAGCTCCGAATCCATATCAGTACAATTCCTGTACTCCCACCTGATCTAAGACCAACAATTCATCTTAATGATGGTGGTCCATTAGCAACCTTTGATTGAAATGATTCACAGCGTAAGGTAGTTCATAGGAAACTCTTTGGGAGATACAGCAAGGTATTTGGCCTGCTCCTCATTCATGAATGATATCTGAAAAAAGACTAGTTCAAGATGCTGTAGATGCATTAATATAATAGATAAAAATGGTAGCAAGGTTGCGCATCCCCCGTGCATCCTCAATGTCTTGCCAGGGGAGTAGCAACCAGAATGCTGCTCGCCAGTATGGAGAGGAGTCGCAACACTGTCGCCATAAGGTATCAGTTACCCCATACAAGTCGCTCTTATAAACTTCCATGCTGTAAGTGGCAACTTTCACGGCTTTGCGCCTACATGGCAGAGCTCACTCTCCTGGCCTTGGGGCTATGCCATCCTTTGTGAAAAGTGATTCAACTTTTATGAAGACTGGTGCTCGATTGATCCCTCAATCCCCCTGAGACCCCTCACAGAATTCCCTGACCCATTTCCACCCCCCCCATGTGTGCTAGTCCCCACCTCCTGGTTCGGAATAGGGGATAACATGCGGGTCGAATAGGACAGAAAACACAGCTGGTTCATGCCACCATACTGTTAATAGTACCAATCCTTAACTGTTCTATCTGGCGCCCTGTTAGTAAGGGTGAAGAGGTACAGGTGGCAATGGAAGTTCCAAAAGCTCAGAGATCAATGGTCATCATCATCATCATTTTTCATTATCATTTACATCATCACTATCATCATCATTATCAGTAGTTGTGAATGTGGGACGCTGGGCCCGGTTCCCAGCATGTGCTGTACTATTATCTTTCCATTGTAATTCGAGGGACACTGGACCCGTTTTCCAGCAGGTGCAGCTCCCCACCAATAGACTGGAGCCCCCGGTGTCTCAGGTAGGAGTGTATGCTCTTATCATCACTCCTATCTGATGTCACGGGACTTTCCTTAAAAAGAAATAATAATTAAAAAATGAAAAAGAAGAAGAAGAAGAAGATATCCACTAGGAATTCTTGAACCACCGGTACCCCGCCCCACCATTGGCACATTATCCGCTAGGAATTCCGGAACCACCGGTGCTCCCCCCAGTATATGCAGTGCCATGCCGATTAACATGGGAACGCACTCAGATTTGGGCTTACTGCGAGTGGACTGCCCAAGTGTCTCTACTTCAGCGATTTTTCTCTCCCATTTCCTTTAACAAACTAATTTCCAAAAACAAAGCATGGGTGTAGGGTAGGTATGTGCTGCTGCATAATGGAAACATAATTGAAAATTTAAGAAAAAAACATAAGACGGTCAAAAAAAGTTCCGGTGCAAATGCATTGTGTATGGCAGCCACCACAAACCCCGAGCCCCGAACCCCAACCCTCACGACGGTCCGGTAGTGCAGGGGTGGGCACAATGAAGGTCTGAGAAAAGTAGGCTCGGAGAGTCGGAAGTACTTGTGGTTTAAAACTGCACTCAACACTCAGCACTGCACAGACGAAGAAAAGGCGCTCTAAGTTGAGGAAAAGGTTTGGGACTGCGCTGTGGCCGCCCTGCACAGGAAAAGGTACCACTCCTCCGGGTCCTTGCTTCTACTCGAGACATACTCACACTAGGACTTGCCCAAACGACCAGGTTCCTAATTTTCAACGTGAGGCTCGTAATTTACAACGTGAGCCTTCTAGGCCTCACCAGCCCTGAGGACGGCCTCAGAAACACCGAGGCAGGTCTTCAGTGAAGACCTCAATCAGGTATCAACCCAGCAGCCCCTCCATTGGACCCAACAGCCCCTCCATTGGGCCCAGAAGCCCCTCCATTGGGTTCCGACGGAGCAGTTGCCTGGGCCTGGAATCTGCCCGGGAGGAAGTGCCTACCAGAGGGCCCAGAGCCCAGCTGCACAAGTGAGCAAAAGAAGCAAGGCCGGGGCATAGGGACATTGGACAGCGGGCAGTATCAGCTGGCAGCACGCTCCCGCACAGATGGGCAGCCTTGTGGTGGCTGCGCCGTGCAGGCGATAACGTGGTGAGCGGTCAGAGTTAGTCATGAAGGCAGAAAGTGGATATAGCCAAGTGCCGGCACATTGAAGAGCAGTGTTGTGGTGACTTCTTGAACGTGCACTTCCATTAACGGGTTGGCGAGTGCGGTGAAGGGGAGAAGGTGGCGAGTGGTCGGAGTTGCTCAGGGACAGACAGCAGCACTGTGGACTCACAGATACTCACCTGGTTTATGGCCAAGGAGCACCTATGTGATCGGACTCTTCAGCGGCATCTGCGGGAGGAGAGTGGACAGAAAGTGAGAGGCAGTAGGCTGGCATGAACAGGCCAGTGAAGGAAAGTAGTCTAGGCGGACACATCATAGATAAGGCTTCTACCTGCTTTCGTATTGATTGTTGGAGGTGCGAAGAACGCTTCCATTGTGGATAGACTTAATGTGTTCCATGTGTTCTTAAATCGGTGTGCTCTCAGATTTGTCATTTGCTTTCAACTCATCTTACTCGTGGTTGGTCTTCAACGAGCTCTTGCATCTCCATTTTTTTGTGTACTCACATGTGATCTGCATTTCAGTATCGGAGCAGGTTCTCTGACACTCACCATCTAAGATGGCGAATTAGGTCTTGTGGTGCTTGCAGGTGCTTGCAGGTGCTTGCAGGTGCTTGCAGGTGCTTGCAGGTGCTTGCAGGTGCTTGCAGGCAGTGCATTAAACCACCAGTACTTGGCCCAGCTATCGACCGCGGAAAAAAATCGAGTAGAAATGTTTCTAGTTGGATGAATTTGGGCACTCCTGTAGTGGCCCGTACGTTTCCTAAAATCGTGGTGCGTTAACGGCCACGACTTTAGGAAGTACTGGTGGTTTAACTTTATCGCCCGCTGGGTCGAACGCAGATGGGCAGAAGTTCCGTGCAATATGTTACCAATGACGTCAGAGTATATTGGTGTCTGTCCATGCTCGAGGAGGTACTGGCATTGTATTGTTGGTGGGTCCTTTGCATTGATCGGTCATTAACGGAGCATCATAAACAATTGATGAGATAGTTTGTGGTTGAGGCATTATCAAGTATCCGTAACCTTACCTGCCCTCCATAATATTCTTCTTACCCTGAGGAAGAGTGTTTTACTTAAATCTCTTCTCATTGTGAGCTGTGAATGTGCACAACCTAAGGACTCAACCTTCTTTTGGCGAATCTGGTGTGGGGCGGTGGTGTATGAAACGTGCCCAGCGGACGGCGTGAAGCACATGATGTGGAAGTACGAATCTGTTTGGCCAAACAATGAAGTCCACACTAAGCTTCAGCAGGCACCATAGGTACTTCCAGTCGGGTGGCCCATCGTTCTGTTGCGGCATTAAATACTTCCCTTTCCTTTTCTTTTTCTTAACCAATCAATTCATATTAAGATATCGAAACGACGCTAGGGGCCTCACAATTCTACCCGGAATTATCCCGGCAGCCTTAGTCAGTTTCGCTTATAGAAAACCCAGAAAGGACAATACCTCCGTGCTAACCTAAAAAAGACTCATGCTGAAAAACAAAGTGCAAACATATTAGGGTCCTACTTGTAGCTAGATTA